TGGATGTTCCCGCTGGGGCTCATCTCCGGCGTGTTGATATCGGCATGCGCATCGACCCAGATGACCGCCATTTCGCGGCCCAGTCGCTCCCGGATGGCCTTGGCCGTGCCGGAGATGGTGCCGATGGCGATCGAGTGGTCGCCGCCTAGCGTGAGGACGAACTTGCCGTCCTTGGCGTAGTCGTAGACCTGCTTGCTGAGCGTCTCGGTCACAACGCTCACGGCGCGCGGCTTCTTCATGCCCCGGTGATCGGGATCGCTCATGGGGGTCAGGCTCTCGTAGTAGTGCACGGTGTCGTCATAGTGAAGTTGGTAGCCCAGGTCGTCGCGCACTTGATTCAGAAGACCGGCTTCAATCAAGGCGAGCGGGGCTGCTTCGACGCCTAGTTTGCACTATACAGATAATGTTAGTTGAAGTGCTCGCTTAATTCCTTCCTCCGCGGAAGGATGACAATGTATGCAAGTAAGCGTCATACCTGACCACCGTTAAATCCGACAGCGACCACGCCCAGCTCATTTGGCTTGGACAGGAATCTTTGCTTGATAGTTGATGGCGCTGTCATATTGAAAGTGAGTGAGGAGGACAATTTTTATAAAGGAGTGAGGTCCAGAGGAAAGATCAAGGATTGATAACGGAAAAAAGAGACGCTGTTCTAGAAGAACTAAAGCGATAAGATTAAGATTGCGCGCGGTGGAGATCAGTTCCGCAATGAGATGCCTCAGGCCGCGAGTCACTTCTGTTCCGAATACAAGCTGCAACACTATTGATACCTTGGAAGATGGAAAAGGGGAGTGAAAGTGACTCTCGAAATGAGAGAATCAAGTCAATTTATGTCTCATTCCTCCGACGACAGCCGTGGGGCTTTGCTGTCATGAGGAAACAGGGCGAAAAGTCGTACACGACTGTGATCGCTAAAAACTGCTTTTAGGGATCATGGATTTCCCCTAAGTACAGGTCCAGGAGAGACGCCCGCTTGCGGGCTTCAACCCACTCCACCCTCATATTTCTATGACCAATGGTTTGGATTTATGCTTCTTTATCTAAATACAACTCCCGCGATGATCATATTTAGTCCGTAGTCATATGGAACTGCTGGGTTGTCATATTGGTCCGTCGGCCGGAGGATGACGGTCGTTAGTACGCGGGATTTCTGATCCGAGAAATCAATAATCAATAGAAATCTGTCTCCTATCATGGACGGCTGATGGTATCTTCTGACAAGGGGTATCATTCATGGATTACAAGCTATATAAGTACACATTGTGAAGGAGCTGCTACGGCTGATCAGACTTTCCGAGGATAAGCTCTCGTAGAATCTCATCCGCTTTCTGAGCTTCTACCCGGCCTTTCTCGCCCATGCGCATCATCTGTCCGACAAACCAGCCTAGCTTACCCAGCTGGTTCTTGGCGCGGATCTGCTCGACCATCTGCGGGTTCTGACTGATGGCTGCTTCCGCCAAAGCAATGTACTCGTCTCGGGACAACGGACGAAGGAGTAGATTCTCTGCCTCGAGGAGCTGAGGAACAGGTCGACGATCACCATCGAAGACCATAGCGAGCACCTGCTTTGCGGTAGCCCCCGTAATGCGTTTTCGCTGCAGCTGATCGATGATTTGCGCAAGGGTTTCAGCAGGTACTCGTTGCGCATCCCAAGCCAAGTCCGCCTTGGCGCAGAGGCCTCCCAGCTCGTGCAGCACCCAGTTGCCAGCCATTCGGGCAAGACCCGCACGAGACTTGGCGTCTTGGTCCTGCTGGAGGTCGCGCAGTATGTCTACCACATCCTGGTAGTATTCCAACCTCGCTCCGTCGTCCAACTCAATCAATGGCTTTGCATCCTCGATCGAGAGTCCATACTCTGGGCCAGCCAGCATCTCGATCAACTGGTCCGGAGGCGTCGGAAGCGAGTCTCTCAGACCGGACACGAGATCGTGGCTGATAATCAGCGGAGGGAGATCTGGGTCCGGCATATAGCGATAGTCCACTTCGCCTTCCTTCCCTCGGAGTTTCCGAGTCTCGGTGCTTCCGATAGTCCAGCCTCTCGTCTCGCCTTCTATGACGCCTCCGCTTTCGAGGACAGCAATCTGACGGTTCTTCTCCGCTATGACGGCGTCTTCGACCGCTTTGAAGCTGCTGAGGTTCTTAATTTCGGTGCGCTGACCTAGTCCACCGATCCCCCCGTACTGATGGGTGCCGGGAGCCTCGTCGCGACGACGAATTGAGACATTCACGTCCGCTCGAAGGCCTCCTAGTTCCATCCCAGTAGTCACGGCGCTGCAGGATTGTAGGATGGCCTGAATCTTCCGAACACATGCTGCGGCAGTGGCAGGGTTGTGGATCTGCGGCATGGTTATTATCTCAATGAGGGGATGGGATACTCGGTTGAAGTCGAGGAGTTGAGTGGAGGGAGGATATTCCTGAGACTTGGCGGTGTCTTGTTCGAGCTGGATCTGTTTGATGCCGATGCGAACGTGGTCGCCGTCCTCGGGTGCAATGCCGTCATGTGGAAAGAGATCCACGTAGCCGTTTTTCGCAAACGGTGCTATCTCAATGTCAGATTGTAATCGCCGTCGATCGACTAAGAAAGGAAGCTACCGTAGTATTGTGTAATCTGATATCCCGCTGGTTGATCGTGATAGAAGTAGTGTTTTCGATCGAACCGACTGACCGGCTGGATGTCGCAGTTCAAGGCAATCGCAGCGCGCAGGGCGGGTAACAAAGTCGTAGCTTGGAATTCCTATACATATTAGCAGCTTCCAGTAGTGCATATTGCTAAATACGAACCGGCTGACTGCCCGGAAACGCCAGGTCAAAGAGAGCAACATTTGAGTTGGGGGTGTCGGTGTTCGACGTAGAGGCTCCTGCTCACACAGATCAGATTGTGCATTTTGGGCCAGGAAGGATAGCAACATAGATTCGACGCACTCGAAAATAGCTTGGTTTCAGTGTTCAACTGGGCGTGGATCTCAATGCCAACAGTCAACTCCCACTTTTGCCGGGATGCTTCCTCGCTTTCTCTCTTCTGTCTCTTCTGAGCTTTCAGAGCCTTTGCGTTCTGTTTCAGCTGCTTCCGTAATGGTATGTGTTCCTTGGATTCTGTAGCTGATGTCTGTAGCGATCTAATGCAACGATGAGGTGCGGTTGGTAGAGGGCTATGCCGGAGGGAGCCAGACTGGGGGCCGCGACAACATGAGCCTCTAAGAAAGCGGGCAGCTCCGGGGCTTTGGCGAAGCCATTGTTGGAGCATGTGTGGGGGCGGGAGCGATGTAGTATGTGATTTGTGAAAGTTAGAGATACTGATTTGTTGGTTGACTCGAGCAGCGACTGGTCTCGAGCACTAGTCTTGAGGAATAGCTGCGGATTGTACCTCTGTATGGGTGGACAAAATGTTGTCGATGTTGAAGCGGAATTTGCGCGTCATACAGTAATTGAATTACCACGTATAGCAAACCACCACAGCATAAAACCCGAAACAACGGTAAATTACGGTTCACCGCTTGGGTTGTCGATCATTTTAGAGCATTTTAGTATCATGAAGGCTGGGATCGTTGTATAGATGAATAGTTAGCTAGGAGTTAATACAGAACAATAATAGAAATAGAATTCGAGATCAACTTCTGAATGTGATCTTGACTTAGGCGAGTTCTCTGTATATGCAAGTCATTCATCTAAAATCTGTACTGCCCTCCGCATCCTGCTGGCGATGGTCATCTACACAACCTAAGGTTATCGGGCCGTAAACAAACGAATCGTAGTGGTTCCCGATGTGTCCCACGATGGTTTCATGCCCAAAGTCTGCTGATTTGATGATGTTGACCTCTCACAGATCATCTCTGTCACACTCTCTCACTGGTCCAGAACTCAAGCAAGACAAGATCATCAGCTCCGACAGAATCGCAGGGAAAGTCCTGTGCATTCCGAGTCCCCACCCTCGTCTGGCTGCAAGACATGGGCATCGTCCACAGCAAGTCACCGCCAGCCAACGCACCACTGCTCGTTCTTTTTGTCTTCCAATAGATCAGAATTCATCTAGAGTCATGCAGGACAGTATCTATCATGGTTTCACCCTTGTCAGAGTCTGACAGAGGTCCACTGCAGAAATCACCTGCTGCTGTTAATACTTGGGCTCTGCATGCCAGGATCATCCTCTCCACCAGCTATTGCAACAACCGGAACAGCAGTGAGATAACCGAGGAGGAAAGGAAAAGCAAAAATAAGAAAAGATTGAATAATTTAAGGCACACTTCTTGAACATATATCTTGCGATCAGACATCACTCCTTCTCGTCAGCCTTTGGCGCTTGCTGGGATTCCCTGGGACGAATTGGACTCATCCCCCCTCCGCGTCGCAAAAGTCGCAACAGGTTGCGACAGGGCAAAGCGCTTCTGTCTATCAAATGACTATCGAATATAGGGCCAACTATATTCCAACTAATATCTCAAGAGTCAAAAATAGTGACTGCGCCATCAGTTACCGTTTCAGCTTGATCATCATCCTGGGGCCGAACTTCTCAATAGCCCGAATTACCTTTGATCCCGAGGACTGCTGACCTCCCCAGCACGGCTCATTGTCACTCACGAAGTCATTATTTCTCCTGATGTACCTTTGCATATGCATCGGTCCTTATCAGCGACGGTCCCCAACTTGATAAACTCAACTCTATTGCCGTTCAAAGACAGAAATACCCCACATTCTGTGCTACATTCTTCGTCTTCGTCTGGCATAGACCATTCCAGGACATTCAAAACGGTCGTCGCCTCCCTTGATATGCCTCGAGTGCTGTCTTCTTTATCGATCACAGCCTTTGCTTTCTGTTTTCATTGTCTTGGTGTCTTGGCCTTTCTTCTCTACCCCGGGAATGTCTTGAAAGCCGCATCTCGCGACTTCCTTGAAAGTTCCAAATTGAACCATTCATACACCACAAACCGGTCAAAATGCCATTGTATTCCAGTTCCAGTCGCTCCAAAAAGTCAAATAGATCATCGGCAGGTTCTGTCCTCTCTATGACGTCTCGGACGACTTCTAAAGGTTCCAAGTCTTCCGTAGAGAAAAAGGAAAAGAAAGAACATGCCCAGGTACAGCCTGGTGCACAGAAGGATGATGAACCAAGTCGGAATTACGCTCAGAAGTCACATGGGGCTCTGAATACTACGCGCAACTCGACCGATCCTGACAAGAAGGCTCCCAACGTGTTTGAGTACCTCGAGGATGATGAATCTTCAGATGATGGTAGCTCATCGTCCGATGCAGAAGAAAACGTGAGTGAGTCTTCAGGCCAGCCCTCGAACGTCCTCGAGACCTACCCAAAACATACATACCCTGGTCTCAACACCGATGCTCGTACCAACACTTTGTCGCAGGGCCAGGCTCATAGACAAACAAGCATCCGTAGTCAAGACTCGACACTCAAGTCCAAGAGATCGGCAAACTCACGGCAGCTACCTCAGGTTGATGTATCTCCGTCTACAGTGCCACTGCACCTGCCACGAAATACAGCAGATCGAAAGCTCTCCTTGGAAGAGATATACAACGTCCCCGGCGCACTCACCGACAGTCCAAATCCTACCGGCAACTTGAATTTGGATCTTGCTACTTTGCCGGAGACTTACTATCCTCCTCGAAACTCCTCTACGTCGCATAGGCCTCCGCTTCCCCCATCTCCTCCGCGAAGCCCCAAGGAGGATCTTCACCGGACCGGCAGGAAGTCTCGGCGAGGTACCAAGTCGTCGCACATACCTTGCGGTTACGGCATTCTCTCCAGCCGACTAAGCTCGTCCTCCGACAGCAAGGAACCCCCCCTTCCACCTTTGTACCGCCGGTTCGAAGATCTGAACCATCGTGTCCTCTTTTATCTCCAAGATGAAATTGCGCAAATGGAAGAAGATCTGAGAATTCTCGACGAGTACGAAGAGATGCATCGGGTCGCCACCGCCGAACGGGAGGGAACGAAGAAGCTACCCGCTTCGAGACGCATGGATGCTCAAGCTCAGGTTTACTCGTCCTTGCATTACAGACGGGTAGAGGTAATGGGAGCCTTGATTCACAAAACGGAGCAATACAGTAAGATTTCAAGTATATGCAACTTCTGGTGTCTTTTCGCTCACGCACTATTTTAGACAACGCCCTCGCAGCATATAGCCGAGTCCTGCAGACCATACCCAGCGCCTCAGATAAAGACATCGAGACCTACCGCACGTGGATGAAAGACCATTCACCCATTATAACAGCCGAGTCCCGGTTCTTAGACCACGGCAAAGACCTGATCTCCTTGTCGCCCCGCCGCGCACCTCCGACAGCCTCCGTCTACTCCGCCATCATCATCGCCTCAGCCGCTATCCTCCTCCCCTTACTAGCCTTCAGCATGATCTCCGAGTTCTCAGGTCGTCTCCTAGTGGTGGCCCTTGTCGGCGGGGCGGCTGCCGCGATAGCAATGAATTATTCGTCTGGTGCAGAGCACCTTGAGTCTCGCGATGGATGGAGGTCTGCAACATTGTACGTATTTGACCTTGCACATCTCCTAACAACCCTGCTTCTTTTCTGTCTATGGTTACCCCGCTCGAGGTTACCCTCTCCAGATGACAATTCCTAGCATCAGAGACTCATTCACTGTTCACAGATACTTTGGCTTCATGACCATAGCCGCCATGTTTATCCCTTGATATCCGTCAACTGCTGCGGTATAACGACCAGACGCGTTTCTCTTAGCCTCCAAGACACTGAAAGTCCCATTCATCTCTTCTATCTGATTAGCCTCCAGTTCAAACAGAAAGAGACGGAATAGCCTTGGACAAACTGACATTATGAGGTAGTATTAGGGACCATGTATTCATAGAATGATGTATACTACGTTAATGATAAGTCACTTCAGACAGACGACAATGTAATTCAATCCTTAAAGTAAAGTAGAAGAGTTTTGACTTGGATTCATATTGATAGAGCCGCAATCTTTAAAACTAGAGAACATGTCCACGTTCGACTCCCTACCGACCGCACAAAACCACCCAAACCATTCTTTGAAAGCATTCCGCGCCGATCGCTAAGAAACTCCATCCCAGAGTACAGGCAGACGGCGGCAGTTGTTGTTGGTAGAGCATTAAAAGTTAACAAAAAGAAGAAGATCACGAAGAGAGAAGATGGAAAGTCACTCAGGGAAGAACAGCAATCATTTAGAAGTTACACATTTCACTCGGTGGTGAAAACGGGTGATAATAATGTCATGGTTGAAGATCAACATGAAAACGGTCTTGAGTCTGACTTCCCAGCCGCCAATCTAACAAAAAGTAAAGAAAGAACAAGAGAGAAATACAGTAAGGCACGCCCAATCCGAATGGAATCATCACCGTGTCACCGTAACCACGCCTCAAAAGTACTAATATTAGCAAATGAGAAAAGAGAAAGCCGTCACGAAGGCACAGGAGTACCATTTTGCTTGATAGCTGGCGTTATACTTCGGTCTTGGGAGCTGGCATCCGTAGTAGGCTGAGGGGTTGAGCTCTGTCGGGTTTGTTGCGCTAATTGCGCTTTATTCCGGTCCATCAATGCAGCCTGTTCAGCAGCACTCCTAGCATAAGTCATTGCAGCGGCAGAGTTGGAGTAGGTGTTTGGTGCAGGGGCAGCTTGGTTCGAAGGGTAGTTGTAATTGGATGGTTGCTGCTGCGGGACATACCGCTGCTGGGGGGTTGCAGAGCCTGGTGCCATATATGGTGCCCGTGTCCGAGGCGAGGCATATGCTGGCTGCTTCTGCGGTGAGCCACTACGCCCTGCAGCATACTGCGGGGCGTATGCTCCAGGCTGTGCGGGCCTGGGCGCGTACGCCTGCGGAGAAGCTTGAGCAGGCGGTAAAGCTTGCGGTGCTGCATAGGGGCTGTAGCCGTTTTGGCCCGGCCGCTGGAACTGCTGAAGATTGGCCTGGTTGTATTGCGGAGTAGGTTGTTGATATCCCGGCACAAAAGCGGGTCGCTGAGTAGGCGTTGCCGGAGGGCGAACATTAGCATAGTGCTGTGGAGGGCCTGGGGTATAAGGCCCTGAGGTCGAAGGCTGTCTTCCGCCGTAATACGGCTGGGCCGCCTGAAAACCAGCTTGCGGTTGTTGTACCCGAGCGTTAGCAGTATACGCCCGCTGGTTGTAACCTGCCTGATAGCTTCCAGAGCGGCTGGGTGTAGATGTTCGGTTTGGTCCAGTAGCCATCGGTGCCAGCGCTGCGGCCCGCTCCTGCTGCAGCGTGAAGTCATCCTTCTCCATAACGCCGTGATAGTCCGGATTATCGACCAAAATCTTGGTACTGATATTTAGTTCGGCTAGCTGGTCACCATCCAACTTGGCGACGGCGTATGGCGGTAGGTTTGAAACGAGAACGGCAAGGCTGGATTTGAGTGTCTCGTAGATACCCTGTTCTGCTGCAGACGCGTGAGATGGAGTGCCTTGGTCTGTTGCTGTCTCTTTGGGTTCACCGCCTGGAGCTGGTAGTTCCAGGTTGCGGATCTTCTGGTATGAGCTCAAAGTCTCCAGCAATTCAGAGACATCGCGTAACAGGTCATCCATGCCCTTCGACTCTGCTTCTTCTTTTTCTTTCTCCAAAGTATTGGTAAGTGAGACATGGTCGGCAAAGTCTTCAGGGTTGAATGATTTGACCATCTCTTCCAAAGTGCTTTCGTCCAATTCACCAATGTTGCCAGGTTGCTGTGTCGCGGATACTTCCGATACTTCTTGAGGCTCCTCTGAGTAGGTCTTGGTAAGGAGGGTGTACAAGCGTTTCGTCCCTCGTTTCCCCCACCATACCATGTCCTTTGAATCAGCTTGAACAATAGCTCCTGAGCTGTCAAAGGAAGGTGCGAAAGAAGAATACACGCCCTGCAACAGAGACGCGTCGTCATCTGTCCACAGAGCAGGATCCTCATTATATCTCTCGTCTCCGTGCGGCTGAGCGGACTGTTGCTTTTGCCGTCGATCCCAGAAAGAGGGGGATGATGTGATTCCGCCGTACTGGAGCCACTGGCCGGAAGGAAGAGGCGCAAGGCAATAGTTATTTCGCTCGCCAGGAAAGGCCTTGTAGTTTGTGACTGCTTCAAATGGGTCAATCCAGCCTCCAGGAGCAGTACGAGAAGACGACCTGGCTCTGCGTGGCGGCTCTAACTGCGGTAGTGTTGGACGAGGCGTGAACACCTCGCCAAAGGTTCGCTTGGGCTCTTTGGGCTTGTTGTCTGTGTTGTAAGCCGCAACTTTGGTGGTCGTGATACCGTTGGGCAAGCCAATCTCACGCAGAGGTGTTTGTACTTCCACGTACTTCTCTACGGCTGATTCACCAGAAGGCAGAGAAACCTTGACGGATTTTTGCAAGCTGGAATATAGCTGTTTCGGATTGGACGGATTACCAAGAATCGTGAGAACCACATTGTCGCTTCGAGCTTCAGTGGTAGAGGGCGTTGATTTTTCTGGAGCCTCTGAGTCGTCTTCCGTGCTCTCCTTCTTGACGCTGGCCTGGCCCACAGAAGCCTGGCGCACAAGACTATTCAAAAGCTTTTTGAATGCCGCAATCCGATTGACCGTTTCTGTCAGGCGGTTCCCGTCGGTGGCTTCGCCCTCACCACTTTGAGCTTTGCTCCGCTCAATCACGGCTGTGGAGGCCCTGTCGATATCACTCAGAAACTCAGAGAGAGTACTGTAACGATCCGACGCAACCCTCGCTTGTATGCTAGTACTTTCGTCTTTCTCTCCTGATACTTTTGCGCGTTTCGAACGCGGCTTCGCAGGTGACGACGGCAGAGGGCATGAGAGTAGCTGAAGTTCGGTATCATTCCTAACGAACACGTCAGTTAAACTCGAGCCCGAGGGATCAACAAGACATGGGGATGCGCACTTGCTGAGGATATCCACGAGATTACTCAGGGTTTCGTGTAGTTTGACCCTTTCCTGAACCTGCGACTCAGAAGCACCGGCATCCTGGGCAGCATGAACATCATGGCTCGATCCACGCTTTCGCTTTCCAGGTGTCGACAGCACAGGCGGATCTGGAGTCGCGGATTGAGGTTCGCCGTTGGTGGCGGGAATCGAAAGCGTCTCTCCGCCTTCGTCTGCGCTCATGGCTTCAAGTCCGGAAGTGCGCCGTTGTTGCAGTTGATTTTTTGCTCCTTGAACGCGAGGACGAAAATTGACTTCGTCCCAGGAGTCGGTCTAGGAGATTTTCGGGCGAATAAAATCCCTGTACGTTGATCGCGACGCGAAGATCAGAGGGTAGGACTGAAGGTTGAGACGAAAACCGGAACTGAGACCCTGAGTTCCTGAAAGAATATCGGTGTTTTGAGGCTTGCTGGATCTCCGATGCGCATGCGCCAATCGTTACAGGGCCGAGCGAAGGATAAGGGTCGCAACTCGTACTGAGGAAAATTGCGACTCTATCCCGCGGAGGGGCGAAAGGCACAGAGACAGGACAACGAGTATCCTCAAATTGTGGATGACTACAAGTGAAAAGAAGAGATAATGGGATTTAGAAAACGAAAACAACGACGACGCCTTTGGTCTCGGACTGCAAAGGCGGGAGGGAGATTCACTAAGTTAGGTAAAGAGGGAGATCCGGTCGATTGCGCGCCAAAAACGTGACAGCCGCTCACGTGATCCAGCATTTTCCTTCCGAGTTCCAGAGTTACTGGGTGTGTAGTACTATTCTTCAACTTCCTACAAACACATTCTAATTGATGCTCCTAGCTGTGTCCGGAGGCTTCTTTGGTTCCTTTTCTGGCTCCTCAGCAGCCTCCTCATGATTCTCTTCATGGATGTCATCGGTCTTCAATCATGTTCCGAGCCGCTCGGGGGCCTCTCTGAGAGCGGCGCATTTGATTAACAATTATCCATGGCCAAAGGTACGAGAGGTCGGATCCTCTTCCAGGCAACCCAATGGCTATATAGGAAACTCGCTAATGGTTCATTCTTTGATCGATTAGGACCGCTCTTCCACAAATTTTTCGCGTCCTACACATCAAACGAAGTGGCATCGCAATGGCTTCCTATGTTCTGCGGGGGTGTTCCGGGAATACAGATATATCAGCACTGCCGCTCCTACAGAGACTGAGCGGCTGATTGATGCAAATGGCGAGGAAGATCGTTGGTATGACTTTTGGTGCAGGGTCCGAAATCAGTCTCAATTGAGCCGGTCGTTTTCACCCTCCGGCTCGAATCATCTGTGCGGACATAACCAGAGCTCTGGCGAATCGGACAATTCACCGTCAATTGCCGATGTATATTCAAGCGAGCACGATGCAGCTTTGACCGCACACTCCGAAAAGAAAGCGATGTCTTCTCGAAAGGCCACGAAAGTGAAGGGGACACAATCTTCTATTGTGACGCCTACGCAGTATCTACTTGATGTTCTCCGTGATCCTGCACGCAGTACCGGAGATGGACTCGGTCAGACGCAGCCTTTGAATCCCATTGTGAATGATTATGGGAAACGGCAGAAAGAAGCGCCTCGCAAACAACCGAGATTATCGTTGCAGACTATTCTTGCGGATTGGATACAGTGTGTGGATCCCATCTTGGGTCGGGTACATAGAGCACATTATGATACCGAAGCGACGCCCGAGCTGGATACTGTATTGCGACAGGCGTTTCCGCCAAAAATTATCGAGTATTTGACGGCCCGGCATTGCAGCCCCAGCGATGTGTTGCTTTGGTCATGGATTCTCAAGAGCAACACTCCTCACGAGGCTGCTCTCCGAATCTTGATGGCCGAGTCTGCAGAGGGAGCCAGACCCGGTTCCCAACGTCGGCTCATACCTCCGTTCATTCCTCTACTTCTCCTGCGCAGACAAAGCCTCGACGCGAAGACTTTTCGCTTGCTTCTTATTTATTCCCTGCACCTCATCACTGGCAGAAAAATTCCGCCTTTCGACGCCTTCAAGCGCGTACAATGCACTGCTCAGGAGCTCGAGGACAGCATCGGCTCACAACAGACAGAAGTCCTCATCGACCCTACTACTTGCTTCGCGTTCGTTACCCGTCTGCTTCGTCATGCTCGGGAAGTATGGCCACAGGCCCAGCTCACCATCGCGCGTGCCTTTGCATCCTATCTGACTCTGCTAAGAAACGACCAAGAAATTTCGGGTATTGCCAGACACCGTAGGAATCAGTTCATGGCTGACAAGTTCAACGCATGTCTCTGGCTGCTCTCGTTACCTTGCAAAGCAGGCCCTTTTAAGTTTGTTTCGGTACAGCAACAAGCTCAATTCGAACTTCTCAAGGCTATGGCAGGACACAATCCGGTCCTTCCGGTTACGCGGCAGGGCTACCAAGGTATCATTGCTGTGCAATTGGCCCACAAGAAGACCTCCGCCGAGCGGCAATCGGCAGAACTAAAGGCACCATCGTGGCCACCGTGGAAGGAAGAAAAGCTTGGAATCGACTCTCAACGAGGGAACGAAGGAATGAAGAGTCGCGCCATGCGCGTGATGGCTCAAATGAGAGAGGCCGGCTACTCTCACACTCGCTGGGAAGAGGTCTCTGCGATCTTGGCCGGTTGGGACACGGACAAAAGCCCGACAGTTCAAACTAGGGCCTTGATGCGTCGACCGCAACTGCTACGTGGGCCTGCAGGAAGCAAGCCGGATCATCATGCTGTCTGGGTGGCCCGAATCCGCGCCACGCGGACGGTTCGGGAGGCTTGGGCCTGCTTTCTGTCATATCAAGATCAAGGCCTACCGCCGCGAGCGAGTATATATGTCGCTATGGCTGAGAAATTGATTTTCCGGAGAAAAGCGCTCGAGAATGACTTCGACCATATCAGTCATTCTCTACCAGGCGATGGCCTGGAAGTCTTTCCGGAACCTGCTTCCGCCCGCGACTTGATTTATGTACACACGGAGCCTCCTACCCTGGAAGAGCTTCTCAAACAGATGCTTTCCCAGGGGATCCGTCCGTCCGGGAGATTCTTGGCTTTACTTCTGCGATCTGCGCCGACGTTCAATTGCGGATTGGACTATCTCAGTTGCAGTGACTTGTCGAACGAACAAATCCAAGCTTTGTGCACTGTGGGGGAAAGTACATCAGATTATGATGCGTTGGATTCAAAGGTTTTGGATGAACTGCCCGACTACCTCTTTTCATCTTTCGTAGGCTTTCTTTGCAACTTTTCGAGTCTTGACTCCTTGCACCTGGAACGGCATGATATACGCACTGCCGATCTATTCCCCATTATTATGAGCAGTATCCATCCGAACAAGCCGAAAACCTCGACGCTGTTTTCCAATATGCATACATCAGGAGGAAGCGGTACCTTGCAACATCCGAAAACCTTGTCGCATGCCATTCAGTTGTTGAAACTTCGAAAGTCCCGTTTCCCCCCTCCGTGGATTCATCTCTTGACAGCGCTGAGCAAGGATCGCATCAGAACGCCATATCGCAGAATGAGCCGCAGTGCACAACGGGTGCTTGCTTGGTATGAGATGGTCGAGGTGATCGGTTGGATGAAAGAACGTGCCATCGACCCTGGTCTGCAGGGGCATCAGGTCCTTTGTGCAAGTTTCTCAAAGGCTGTGATGGCAGGTTTGAAACATCCAAATGCCGCAGGAGATGGTTTGGCGATTGTTCATGAAGCAGCACGGCGAGGAAGCATCAAACACTCCAAGGTACTACGCCCCCATTTTGAGGACATGGTTCGGAGTGGACTTGCCATTCTCAAGGAACTCTTTGACCAGCTTGTCCTTTCGGATCCGAAAAACGCCCCTTTCGGTGAGCGTTCGGCAGGCTCGTTTGAGAGTGCTACGAGTCCGCCGGTGGCTATTCCTTCTATGCTTCACGTACCTTCTCCAGCCGCTCTACATGCATTCGTCAGAGCGCTAGGGCTGGCTGGGGAGCATGACGGCCTGTTGAACTTGCTTCGATGGATGAGCCAGAATGCCACCACCCTCAAAGAGGCGGCTGATGAGCATATGAACGGAGATCGCATGATGCGGCGTACTCTGGTTGCACTCCGCGTGTTCCTTGAAGGATACAGAGGGAAGCGACCTCGGGGAGAATCTGACAATTTGCCGTCGGAGTCAATGGCCGAGGGAGAACCTCTCTCCAACGATGTCTCAGATCCAGACGTGAGCGTGTCCGATTCGAAGCTGCAAGAGGCATATGAAATTGTCGCGGCGACTCCGCTGTGGGGTTCATGGCCAAGCGATGATGAGGTCTGGGAGTATTTACACTGGGAACCTTAGCAGTCTGTACATTAGATTCTGTATATATATTCATTTAGTTGTAGTCAGTCCGATAGATACCCTTTCGCTGATAGATATCTTTTCGCTTGTCATCCACCGTCCAAATGATTATCCGCTTATCCGCGGCCTACTTCGGTTCCCCACAGTGGGAGTAGTAAAGCTTTACTCCGTAGCTTTCCCCGCGAGTTGGAGAACGACCGGAGAGCTTCAACCTCCATCTTCTTGATTTTATTGCATTTTCAACTGTGCTCAATCCTACCTACTTCCAGGTCTGTATTCTAGAGTCCAATCAATATTGAAAATGCCTCCCCGACTCCCACGCCTCGCACCCGCTCTCTCCAGCCCCCCTCGAATCGTCTCGCTCCGCGTCACCATCTCCCGCTACAGCACCAGCACCGACGACGCCGTCATCCAAACCCAACAAGTCCCCGCCCCAGGCTCCGGCAGCGTCCGCGTCCTCCTCCTCAACCGCCCCAAAGCCCGTAACGCCCTCTCGCGAAACCTTCTCGACGCCCTCTCCAAGCAAATCCACTCCATCGCCGCCGAGGGCGGCACAGGCCCAACCCGCGCCCTGGTCATTGCCAGCAACGCCGACGCCGCCTTTTGCGCCGGCGCAGACCTCAAAGAGCGCGCCAAGATGACAAAGGAGGAGTAAGTCCCCCTCGCCCCCCCCTGCACCCACAGCGTACCGCATCTTGTTGACCTGGGAAGGACGAACGAATTCCTCACCAAACTCCGCGGCACATTCCACGACCTCGCCGCGCTGCAGATCCCCACCATCTCCGCTATCTCTTCCACAGCGCTGGGCGGCGGGCTCGAGCTCGCGCTGTGCACGCACCTGCGCGTGTTTGGGTCGTCTGCTATCGTGGGCTTACCAGAGACCCGGCTGGCGATTATCCCCGGCGCGGGCGGCACGTATCGCCTCCCTGCGCTGATTGGGGTGAACCGCGCGCGGGACATGATCTTGACAGGGAGACGGGTGTCTGGTCCCGAGGCGTACTTCCTGGGTCTTTGTGATCGGTTAGTGGAGATCTTGCCCGAGGAGGAGGGGAAGGAAGGGGTGGCGAGGGAGAAGGTGCTGAGGGAGAGTATTAAGCTGGCGCTGGATATTTGCGAGGGGGGGCCGATTGCGATTAAGCAGGCGATTCAGGCGGTTGCGGGGTATCACCGGGGCGAGGCGGCGGAGAATGAGGCGTATAATGGGGTGATTGAGACGGAGGATCGGTATGAGGCGCTTAGGGCTTTTGCGGAGAAGAGGAAGCCTGCGTTTCGGGGGAGGTAGATAGGTAGTTGTCTACGAGGAGGTGGCATTTATTTGCTGTAATGATAACAGGCTATGGATCTTGCTCAGGTTCTATATGCTGTCTAACTTAAGAAGCATAACGAACGTTGAAGAGACGAGGCCATCTACGAGGGGATGACTCGCTTCGACACGATTGCAATGCTTGACTCCTGAGCCAGTGCCTCTGCAATCACAACACTCTGGAACCATATCAGTAAGCTGTCACAACACTTATACTCACCGGCCCAAAAAACGTCTTCTTCTTCCCACCATACCACACCACAAGAATCAAGACGACGATTACAACAACAACCGGAGCCAGATAGTTCATATTGGACGGCGTGGGCGGCATGATCGTCGGAAAACAGAAGATGACCGTATACAGCCCAACCCACACACACGAGAACGCATTCACAAAGACCCCATACCGCCCTAAATCGAAGTAGCGGTCGACAAGGACCTTCTCCCGTCCTCGGAAGAGCAGGATGCCCTGCGGGATCACATACGTCACGTTCATGGATAGGATGGCCATCGAGACGATGCTGCTGTATGCCGTGCTGGATGCAATGTAGATAAGACCATACAGTGCCATCAGCACGGCACAGGCAACGGTCGAGGCGACGGGCGTTTGGAATCGCGGATACACTGTGGCTAACGTTCCGGAAAACGGCAGCCCGTTGTCCCGGGCAAACGCCCAAGCCATGCGGCCGGATGTCGCGAGCCCGGCGACTGTGCCTCCAAAGTAGTTGAAAATAAGCCAGATGGTGAAAATGGCGGCTACGTCTTTGCTGCCCGTTGCTTGATGGTACAGCGTCAGGATAGGCAGTTCGGACCGGACGATCTCGCCTAGGTCGACTGTCGCGAATAAGGTGGCCACGACAAACGGCAACGTGGTGGCAATCCCAATCACGGGCGTCAGCCACATCACCTTGGGAATATTTCGGCCTGGGTCCGGGACTTCCTGCGAATAGTCAGTCTTTCGAGGTGCGGTCATTGGGAGTCATGACTCATGAGACATGCCTCGGCGATATGTGTCGCTGCGTCGGTAGCACAGAACATGTACATACAGGTCCCTAGTCCTATGAGGAACGACAAGCCGTCGGGCCATCCCGTCTCGTTCTCGTACTGGGTGAAAACAACGCGCGCAGACTGCTTGCTTTTGCTCATTCCGAGAACCGCGGCAAGACACACGACAAAGGCAGATATGCTGCTCCAGAACATGACCTCCTGCAATCGCGGCAACCAGTGAGCGAGAAGACAAACCATTGCCGTTGCCAGGATAATGAGAGCGAGAAAGACGAGGTATGTCTGCCACTGCCTGGGATGGTAGTCCTCGTTTAGGAACGAGCCGAGCGCAAGAATCGCTTGAGCTTCTCATCGTAAGTCGAGCCTGCTCAAAATTCTCACATAAACTCATGACATACCGATAAAAATGGTGCCAGACACTGTGGCCAGACACCAGGCAAGAGAGCTAAGCCAGCCACATACGAAAGCACAAGCTGTTCGAGTCTTTGGTGACGAAACCATATAGGTGAAATGGTACTGTCCTCCGCTCGACGGGAACGCAGATGCCAACTCGGCAAGACCCAGGGCTGAGATAGCATATCGAATCAGCGTACTACAGAAAATTCAGGAACGCAGGCGTACTGATGATAATGCACACGATTCCAGCCACTATAACACCATAGAAAACCGCGGGCCCTCCACCAGCCAGTAACGCAGTTGAGAAGGTCCCGGAATAACCAACCCAGGAGTTTGTGACAACATAAGCAAATGATAGAGCTGAGCTCGCAGAGAACTGCTGTGGGAGCTCCCTTTGCTGTCCTCGCGCTTGTGGCAAGGCATCGTCAGCCGCCAGGACGCTTGCTGGACCGGATTTCTCAGTCTTGGAAACGACCATGTTGCAATCGTGTTCCCACACTCTCGAAGATAGCGAAGCCCGCTGTATTAGCTGGATTATGGCATTGCAATATATGAATTCCTTATCAGCCTGGTAGTGGAATGAGGGGCACAGTTAGGAGCTGGTATGAGATAGAAGTAAGGGATATCAAGAGCGTACCCATTCATACAATCCTAAGGCTGCTTCATTCCACAGCCATCTGATGCAGACTCCTTTGAAGGTAAGCGCGCAAGACGCTGGATTATAAGTCCTAATTGCTCATTGTCTTTACTTTCTCACCGCTGCCTTGTACAACGCGCCAGGGAGTCCAGACGTAGACTGCAATGCAGCACATTGTTCAACGGTGATGGTGCCACAGAAAGCTCGGGCCAGAAGTTGATTGCTTCAATCACACTTGGCTTCTAAGTGCTAAACAGAGTGCATTGGATTAAGCCTGCTATTGGCATTAGCAAGTGAAATATTTCAGTTGTCAATGGCATGGACCCAATACGTACAGATTTGATATATGCTGGACCATATGCAGCATGAGGCATACCAGCCTGGTCAAACGGAGGAGTCGTTTGAGGAGCTGACCTAACTTCCTCAAATGGAAGTATCTTAAACTGCATAGATGTTGTAGATCTTTCTTGCTCAAGGGAGAAGTGTTGTGCTGGGTCCACTGCCCCTTGCGGAACAATTTCGGCAACTCACATCACAGGAGCGTCTGTCTATTGCTTTCAGACAATTATTCCCCAAGTCGGAGTCACCATTTGGGATGGAAGCATAGACCTTGCTGTCTGATGATAATGTCTGCGTGTGCCTCCGAATGGCCGTAGCAGCAGGCCAATTTATCAGGGCCTCTTATCGGCTAAGCCAGGAAGATATCTCTGAACCGGAACAGCGCAGGCTCTTGACGCTCAGTGAATACCATGTAACAGTTTTACTTCCAGCCTGGTCCAGACCTGTGGTTGAGGGATAAGAAGCAGGGGGATGTGGAGACAAAAGTGGAAACGTTCGAGGTGCAAGAGATGACAAATAAGGCATAAAGTTCATGCAAAGGCGTTCCAAGGATAGTCCGAATCTTGCACCGTCTAGCATCCAGATATCCATAGCTTCTAGAATAGCATCATCTTGCAGGAAATGCCTCGACTCTCAGAGCAAAAGGCTTCTAAGCTGGCGATTTCGGTCAGCGTTGGGCTTTGCCCTCGGAAGTCGTAGTAACATCAATGCTTGGACTCAGGCATACTAGAACCTGTTAACCAAGGCGTCCATTTATCCTATCACTAAGACTATTACCATGAGATGCACCATGTCTCTTCCATAACAAGGGTATCCCAAACATCAAAAGGAAAGCAAGTATAGAAGCCGGAGGGAACAGTAAACGCCTGTCGACTATGCCGCTCTATCTCCCATCTTATATGCATGAACCTTGATCAAAACGATCAAAATGCTGGATGACAATGCTAATATGAAAGTGAATGCTGACAGTGCATAACTCCAACCTGTGCTCATGCATTTGCATCAGGACCTGCCTGATGCTTTCTTTGTTTTCTTTTTATCCTGCTTCTTCTTTCTCGCCTCATTACTCATCATCCCAATTGACAAATTCAAAATCAGTCTTTTACTCAGGGAGCATTGGGGAGCTGCCACTTCGTGGTCGTCGAACGTATGTTCCTTGTGTGGCTGCACCAGCCACCGCATCCTGACTCTGACGGATGAGAGGACCCGATCTATTCGAGTGATATAATTGCCACGCGGCGCCGGAGACTTGATAGCCCCCACCCACTTCGAGTCTCTGTCGAGCGTCCCGCACATCGACTCGATGGGCCCCGAAGTGCAGAATCCCTAGGTCTTCGGGTGAGCCGACACTCCCCAGACTTGCTGGTTGCTGCACATCTCCTATCCAGCCGCCAGCCCCAGAAAGCGTCTGTTGTTGGGGCATGTACACCACGGAGTTGGAGGGCAAGGGGACGAGTCGCGGTGGAAGGCGCATGGGCTCTGCTTCTGGTTCTGGTGACCAGGACTGGTAAGACTGCCCCGAAGGCCCTCGGGACAATGGCTCCAAAGTGGGAGGCGGGTCGGATGTGTAACCAGTGTTTCCGATTCCATCAGTGACGATCGAAACCGGTGGTGAGGCACCCGGCATGATAGCAGATGGGTGTGTGATTGAATGGTGTGTGGCTTGGAAGGGAGCGACTGGCCCGAAAGTGGCGGCCGATTGACTAACAGGCGGCGGTGGCGGCATGTTGCTCGCATTCAAGCGTCGTGAAACCGTGATTTCGATGTCATTCTCGTACGGGAGCGGCTGTGGGGGGAACGCCAAAATCGACGGCGTACTGGCCGACATGTCCCTCAACGGCGCCGCTGTCATTGACGTGGACAATTGACGGTAGTGGTAGCGTGAATCCGGTGCAATTCCCAAGTCCAGTGCGTGCAGTTGCTGTGTGAGTTTTTCTGGACCTGGCTCGCTGTACGTGGATCGGCTCAATCGGTCTTCCTGGAAGCGTGGCTCTGTGATACTGGTTTCCAACGTTTCACCCGAAGATTTGCTGTTCAACGGCTTTGGCACGGGCAAACCCGGGCGATTCGTCTCCCCGGGTGACGACGAGGGCCGCTGTTTCGGTGATGACGAAGGAGCCCCTCGTGCCTCTGCGACGCGCTTGGCTTTGGCGACCACGGCAGCCCATGTTCGGTTTGCTTGACCGGCAGGCAGATCTTCCTCGGATCGCCGAGGACTGGCACTCTGCACTGATGTCAGTGCTTCCGTGGCAGAGACGGAAGAACTACTGCGGCCTTTCTCCATGCTACTGCTTGACGCGCTCCTCCCTTCAACAGGGAAGACCTTGAGCACGGGAGCTGCCGGTTTGGAGCCATGTATGTGGGTGGGAAACTTTGGGCGCTGTTTCGGCTGCCTCTCCTTCCCAGGCTTAGGTTTTTGCGGCTTCTCTACCACCTGCCAGCCGTGATCGTCCCGTGGCGGGCTCGAAGCAATCGATGGCTTTTCCGTAGCCTGGCTTATCTGCGAGAGCGAAGACGCTTCCATCTTCTCCCGATTGGCTCTCTCGCCCTCCTGTTCGCTACTCGATTCGCGAAAAATATGAGGGAGAAAGGGGCTCAGGTTGAACCCGTGCGCCGTAGCGGGTAGCTCCTTCGGTGACTCAACTTTCGCCGATTCGTCGCCGAGATCCCATGTTAGTTGCCTCGACGGGCTCTCGTCAGAATCCGGCACGGACGATGAAGAGCTGCTTGACCTATCAAACACGGACCGGTGTTTGCGAATGGAGTCTTGCGAAGAATGCGGCGACAGGCGTTCAATTTCGCTGGAGATGCTCCTCATCAGCTGTTTTAATTCGTTACGCGCCTCTTGGACAATTTTCTCTTTCGAGGCCCGTTTCGGGAAGTTCTCGATCAACCGGGATGCGTGAGTTTCATATTCCCGATAATCCTTAACCAGGCCATAATCATCGACCAGTTCCATGCGCTTTTTCGCGTTCTCGTACGACTTGCAGAGAAGGCGGATGGCCACGACGAGCCATGATTCGTAGAAGCCGGCCTCGGCTTTGACGACTCCAGAGCCTGTCCCTGACTCAGGGACTGATCCAGCCGCGGACCCTCGTCGAGCCTCTAGCCTCGATGACTGCTTCCTTTGCTCTTCATCCATGATTTTCAATTCGTCGCGGCAGAATCCCTGAACCACGCTATGGATCTTGATGACATCGATCGAACCCGCTTTTTGGTAGATGGAGAAGCTGGCTTCCTGGCTACTGCTCTCCGTTTGCGACTCGGATAGTTCGGGCACCACGGCTCTAAGGTCGAATATCAGTTCCTTCTCGGATTGCGGGGAAAGATCTTTTAGAACATAAGCATCGGAGGTCCTCTCAATGAGACCGTACCGAATTAAGATCCCTAAAGTGGTGTCGATATCTCCCCGCTCCCCGGGCCTACTGCTTGTGAGGATATCGACGTTCCAGGTCTCCAGAACTGATTTGCCCAAGTTGATGAGCCCCAGCGGCACATGGTGTCCAAGGAAAGAGAGGAGATTGATCAGGTTCAGCGCCTCAAAATGCCCCATCCGGTAGAGGTCGTGCATAATACTGAGGAAGGGCTCCGCAAGCTTTTCGTCGGTCAGGTGAGAGTTAATATGATACCTTTCAATTGGCTTGGACGTCGCACTGAGGCGGTGACTGATCGCATGGATGGCCAGTGGTAAACACTCATAGTGCATGACCAGTTCAGTTGCCTTGCGGACCTGCTCTTTGGTGGGTCTCTTGATTCCCAAATCCTTGAACAAGAGCTTGCACGCATCCTCGACCGACAGAGGGGGCACTTGAAGGCAATAAGGCTCGTACAAGCGCTGTTTCTTTCGCAGTGTTCGATCCACCGAGGTGTACATAATGCTGCATTGTCTGTTAAAAGGTAAAAACTGCCTGAAATGGTTCAGGTCATCTTCCTGATTGAAGCTGAGACCATCAAAGACGAGAAGCCACTCCTCTCGAGCTTGGAACCAGTTGCGAACCATCTCTACGTATTTTTGCGGCGCTTTGAAATCTGGGCTCTCGAATTCGAGCTCGTCCGTTAAACTCGCAGCCTGCGCGATGTCCCAGAAGCACTTGCTAGTTGACTCGCGCGATTTCGCATCTACCCAGAATATGCCGCCGGGGTAGCAGTCGCGCTGGGTCCACACGTATTGTCTTGCCAGATGAGACTTTCCGGCTCCCGGGCCCCCGCATATCAAGACGGCTGCAAGGCGCTCAGCCCGCTTCTTAGCTCTGTATAGCCGAGCGTGCAAGATATCCAGCTCTCTGGTCATGCCAACAAAAGTGGCATTTGGATGGAAGCCTGCTGGCACCACAAACAGCGGCTCTCTCAGCGATGATCGTGACAAGGCAAGCTGTGTTGTACTATTGGATGGGCCGGGGTTGGGGGATTCACCACCCCCTCCTTTCAAGGCAGGTCGATTTGCGGGATTTTCTAAGAGAGAGAGAAAGTCAGCAATGGTCTGACTGAGAAGGCTACCTTGTTTGGCACAGCAATAACTATAATACAGGAAAAGACGCAATATTTCAAGTGCCGTAAGGTCAACAGGCAAAGCACTCGAGTAAATCAGGATTCTTTTTTTTTTTTTTTGTTTTTGTTGTTTTCTTTCATTGTAGCTCTTCCGCTCTTCCCTCCCGACTAATCATCGCATGTTGCTTGGAAGCAGGAGCAGGAAATGGCATGGAGGAACCAAGGGCCTACGCGTTTCCTGGTTCATGGCCTTCCAATGTTGGGATGAGATCAAAAGGGGAAAAGGGGATGCTCTTATGGCGAACTGGATATCATTCATAAATCAAGCATCTGCAGGTTCCTCAACCTCATACTCCCGCAGGGTAACAGAACCAGATGACCGAGGTGAAAGAAGGAGGGGTTGATTCCTACCAGACGTCTGAACGTTCTGCATGCTGGATGCCGGGCTGATGTTTTCTATAACGGAAATGAGTAAAGGCTACGGCTTTTTGCACATGATGGACATACCGTTGTTGAAGATTTCTTTTGCTTTGGTCTGCCGGATGACCAAGCGGGTCTTTTCTTCCTCAACCCATCTATCAAAGATGGTCAAGGGCGCATCGCGCGAATATCGAAGTAAAGCTTCGGCTACAGCCTCAAAGCCAGGGGCGTCCTCGTCTGCAAACTTGCACATATGGCTGTGGTCCGCCTCGATGCCCATTCGCTCGACGCCTTCAAAGTAAGGAGCGGCAGAGCTTTCGTCCACGATTAGTTCGCGTGTGCCCTTGACGTCGGTGGATCGAGTCTCGTGGAAGAAATAGAGATGGAAACGGCCCATGATGTCGGCAAAGAGACTGTTGATGTTTTGGAGAGTTTCATTGTTGGTTCTCAGTGCTTTGATGAGCTGCGGGGAAGACTCCATGAACTTCTTTGGCAGCACGGCGCTGCAGATGTTTTGCAGTAGCACGCCCCATTTCGCGATGTCTGAGCCGTTGTGTGGGGTCCCCAGGAAAAGAATACCGTACGTTGAGACAAAGATCGACCGAAGGTGCTCGATCTTTTCATTCGAAACGCTTCTGCAGTAGATCAGGGCCCGTTTGACGACGAGACCGCCCAGTGAATGGCAAACAAAGATGATGGGCCGATCCGGACAGTGGCGAAGCTAGAGATCAGCAGTTTAGCGAGATCACGGTAGAGGGAATATACATAACTTACGTTGCGATTAGCAGCTAGGGTTGAGGCCAGGGTTTCGGCATGCTGATGGATGTGGTCTTTGGATGCTCCGTCGGTAAAGGCAGTGACATTGGCGTTATAGCCGTATGTGAGAATCCGGACCTTGCAGGGTTCGAGCAGGCTGGGCAGTAGATCTGCCGGCCAGAAAACGGGGGGGTCCTTTGTAGACCAGGTATTGTACGGATGACCGTTGAGTCCATGCACAAAGACGATATCGACCAGCGGCTTTTCCTTCGTGCAGAAGACCTGGGTGAGGCCGATCGTCTTGACCTTGGCAGCCCAGTCGGTCATTATGTGTAGAGGTGGGCTAGCCAGGTAGGTAGCTCGTATCACGCGGATTGGTTTTCGATGGCAAGATTACGCAGGGATCATCGATTGTGTAAAAGATGATTAAAGAGAGTCGCTAATGTTGAGATGACGATGAAAAACGGGCATAGTGAGAGGAAAGAGTCGACTGAGGGGAGATGGAGGAACAGGTAGTAAAGAGGGGTGAGGGGAGAGGATAGGGGAGGAGGGCATCTTAAATAGAATGAATAACTGTTATAGTTGCCGTGACGATTGTGAAGGTACGCAAAGCTCTTGTGATAGGTGGTTGACGGTTGGATTAGGGCCAGATGATAGGTACAGTGGGCAAAATGACCAGCCTTGCAGAATGACTAGTCACTTAGTAGAGTATCTAAGCAGTAAGCAGCCTGGTGCCTGCGGGTGGCAGTTCCTAGCTGGTCACATTTGGTGCCCGTTCCCGTGGACAGTAGTATCAGGCTGACGGGCCTGATTGGGGCAGGTCATGGGAGACCCTACCTAAAGAGAGTCAATTCGGATTCAGTTCTGGTTTTCCTAATAATGACGTTTGATTTCTGATCAATAATTCCGTACTGTCCTTACTACTATTTACTTTTGCCCTCGAGGGAGAAAGTGCTGCCTACCAGAATCCCAGGAATTATATAAAGGTGCCCTGGGGCGACGGGGCAAAGGACCCTGGTTCCGCGCGGGAGGCGGAGCTAACTATCCACCCACCTGAGTAAGGACCTGGATAATAAGGTTGGTAAGATAGAGTCTCGGTGGTGAAGTGATAAAGAATATTATGGTACAGATATGGATAAATCCGTGATACTAATCAATAGTCCTGACTCCAAACACTCTTGAGGCGATTCTGAGGAGCAAGTAAGAGAGTGGCAGAGCCAATGATCAATATGGAATTAGCGAGGGATACAGGAAGAGAGTAGTCAATACTCGATAGAGTCTATTATTGTAGATTCCTTCATTTCTCTTATTTCTCTTCAACAAGCCAAGGGCAATCATATCTCTTACATGGAGCCTCAGCCACATCCGGGCGTCTTACTCGCATCTACTAGTGCTAGATCTGACTGGCGGATCTATGTATCTTCTACGCAGGTACCCATATTTGATGCTACGTGGCTCTCTCCGTTTTTCGCTACATTCTTTTTGAAGCACCTGTGACCTGACAGTAAGGTCTACTAATAATCAGGGGAATTAAAATTGAATATGACGTTACCTTTATGAAGGTGTGTCATGTTTGAAGTTGGTATTCCGTTCCCTGCAGACACTGCCGTGTTTCTCTCCCATGACCTGCCCAGATCAGGACAGGCTAGTATGGGGCCAAAGAGAAATCCGTAGAAGTACGGCGGACCATTAGTGTATCCATCACCTTTATCAGAATATATCCCTGCCGTCCATGATCGTCCTTTTTATTACCAGGTATATCTGATGTCAGTAATCGATATTCTACCTGCAGAAGCTGTCAGGTACTGGCGTACTGCCGAAACAAGAGGTGTGTACAACTGAAGCGAGCCACGTAGCACCGACTATGGGTACCTGCGTTGAGATATACTCGCCAGTCACATTCGAGCGACGCAAGTACAAAGTCCCGAATACCATCGGTTACGTCCACTACGTAGTTGTAGAGATTAAAATAAGAGGATAATCCGTGAGAAGATAGAGACTACTCTGTAAGCTTCTAAAGTACCTCCGGTAGGTCCACTGTACAGTACTTTTGTGACCCACCGGCCGCCCCCAGGCTGTCTCCCTATTCCACAGCCCACAGCCCCATTCAGTGCCTTGTAGGCATACTTAGAGTTAGGAGCAGAGTTCTTTGCCCAGGGCACTCTTTCGCAATAGGCAGCACTTTGGAGGTACCAGAGTTGTGCACAACTACTTAGGTATGAGTCATGGTTGTAGGACCTTGGTTGCTTGACTCATCAGCTTCTAGACTCCTCATAACAAGAGACAGGTAAGTTCAGATTATCTTATATATCACCAACTGCGTTACTCGTGGGTGTGCATAAAAGTAGATCCTGGTCGCTAGAACGGGTAGTTACTGCCTTGACAACCCTCACTCTCTGATTGCTTCTCAAACCTGGCCAAGATGCGCTAGGCTAGGTACTCTTGTATTCATCCGCGATACCTATTGTCTTAATGTATTGTAGTGTACAAATCTGTGTCAACTTCAAAATCATAGTTGACTGGTGGATCCCCGAATAATCCCCGAATAAATACTCCGTAAAGCGGGGTCGATCCACGGTTTGTTTACGGAGTATACTATGTATGTCTGTGCTTAAGACTCAACCACTCCATGCTGTACAGATCCTGGAAGGCTGGATGACCCGATTCAATCCATCCCTCCGCGCTAGGCCACTTAGTGGCGGGGCTTAGTCTGTGCAGATCTTGTTCAGTGGGATTCTATTCGGCAGTAATAATCCAAGTACAATCCAGATGAAGGCCGATCATTCAGCTCGCCCCAAGTCTTGTGGAAGGAAGATTCGGAGGAGAGCACCGACAACAATGATTTGGGTCCAGGGCCGCTTCGTAGGGATAGTTAGAGGGATTAGTATACTATGCCTCATTGGGTTGTTCCTATTATGATGTAGCAAAAGGCCATTTTTGATATATAAAGGCCTAACGTCCGATTCGCGTTATGAGCGTGGGAAAATCATTGCTTTCTATGACGTAGCGCTGATGCTATCCTCTGAGTCGTAATGGTAGCTCCAGACCGTAGCTATCAAAGACTACAGATTCCTAAACGGATTTGTCTCATCCTGCTCTTCCTCCTCCGCCGATGGAATCGTCCGTTTGACCCGGCACGGGCTCCCCAATGCCACAGAGAAGGGCGGAATATCCTTGGTGACGATGGAGCCCGCGCCAATCGTCGAACCCTGCCCGATCCTCACGCCAGGCAGAATGACGACATTCGCACCAATCCAGCAGTCATCCTCGATGAAGATCGGGTGGCCGAATTCCACATACCTCCGCCGCGACAGGATACTCGTGTCGTGGCCGGCGGTGATGATGCTGACGTTCGTTCCTATCTGGACCCGGTCACCAATGACGACGAGGCTGGTGTCCAGCACAGTGAGACTGATTCCTCAGTCAGTCCAGCTTATCCAAGCACTACGAATTTGCAGGACGTGAACATGGATCGACATACTTCCAATTAATGAAACAACCTTTGCCGATAATGATGTTACATCCGTAGTCTGCCATGAACGGCGGCTCGATAAACGTGCCGTCGCCCACTCTGCCGACCACGCGCCGGAGCAGCTCGAGCCTTTTCTCGGCAATCTGATCGTAGGGCACCGTTTTCGTGTCCAGGCCGTTGTAGTCGGCTGTTAGCCCGCGACACCGGTGCCGTGCCTCGAGTAGTTTGGGCGTGTTGGGATTGTACATCATGCCGGAGACCATGCGCTCGTATTCCTCGCACATCGGAACGTCTTTCAGTTCGCGCGCGAGTGCGATGATCTCGGGGCGCTTTTCGCTGGCTGCCATTTTTGTCTGCTGGTCTTGTGCAGGCGTGGTTTACGGTGGTTTTATGATGTATGAGGCGGGCGCTAGGTTTAAGTACCTGGAGGTGGAGACGGTGGCTTCAGAAGACAACTAAACTAGGCAGCTTGCTTATTTAGAAATCGAGTTCAGCATCGATTGATAAAGTGCTGTTGTACAATGTGAATGGTGCGATTGTCCGGTGATTCGCCGGTGTCGAAGACGTTGGGCGTGATGATTCGTCGGAAGACAGAGCGGGCCGGTGCTGGGTAAATTGCCTTGTAGAGTAATATCTTCCACTTCTTCCACTACCTATTACTGCTCAGTCCCTCTCTCTTAATTAGTATTTAGGCTGATGACTTGATATAACTATCATTTGAATTATGCATATCATATAGTAGCGTTTTTGGCGCTCGAAAACTGCAATTTGCCTAAGCAATTCAAATAACAGCCTTTGCTCGACTCCGCCGGTAAGAAAATAAAGACATGAGCCAAAACAGGATCCTGGAAGAAAGAAGCAATGGCTACTCGAGCCAAATGATCATCCTTACCATGAACCATATTTCGATCTCACCGATGAACTGGTGCTGCCCTCTTATGTCTGAGAAGGCGAGTACGTACTTTCAAAGAAGCATACCTATGCTTGGCAATTAACCCAAACTGAATGAGCTGCTTATCCATCAAGTGTAAGTGGAAAGTGGAAATTGTCATTCAGTAATAATGCTTATGTAGAGCAGATGAAGCTGCCAGGACAACGCATATGCAAATAGACTTTTCAGTCTTGCGATAGCTGAGATCGCATCGTGCAGTGCAGCCACTTGCACAGACATGTAACTCATCAGAAATCCTTGACCAGTTTCTGGGTACCATCAGATTGAGAGTGAGAAGGGACCGAATCCTCAATTTTCAGAGAGGCATCAGGTGTCTTCTTATGTGAATGGAGAACCTTTTCGTATACTGCTTGCTCTTCCTCCTTCAACCCTGATCCGGACGGGTCCCTCCGTATCAGGAAATGCTCTACCCTGGCCTGGGATGATCCCATTTGCTTCACGGTAGTCTCCCTTCGTCCTGTAAGTAATCGCATCGACTCTTCGTTGATCTCCCGAAGTCTTTCCTCATACCCGGTACTCAGCTGGCTAATCCAGGAGGCTTGCACGGCACTTCCGAAAAGGACCAGAAGAAAGATGAAGGTCACAAAGGTCCGATGGTCGACGATCTCTTGCTGTTTCGGCTGATGGCGGTTATGCCATCTCTCCCAGTCTTCCCATGTCGCATTGGCGTATATAGGGTGGTAATCACCGGATGCTGTTCTGGCCCAAGAGGACTGTGTCTGAGGACCTTGCGAGGGATGGAGACTCCAGCCAGTACCGAATTGATCGTAGGCTGCCCGCTTTGTTGGATCCGACAAGATCTCATGAGCTGCTACGACAAGATGATACCGCTGAAGTCGCACCTCAGGTGTGAGGTGTCTACAGAGCGGATGATCATTGCACGGTCGGTCCGGGTGGTAAATCTTCACCAAGTCGTAGAAGCGGCTCTTTGAATATGGAGCGCCTCGGTCCTGTTTGAACACGTCATAGGGCGTGAAACATGACGAGGTTGGCCATGAAAGATCCTTATCATAAATATCGTGTGCAGTTGCGTATAATCTGTAGGACGGAAAGCACCATGGTCGGCGTTTGGCCGAGCGTGAGGCGGGTGGCGGGGAGGAAGAGGACAAAGGAATCAGCAGTTGGAGACCACCGTAGCAAAGGGCATTAGGTTTCTTGAGCATGGCGGCCGCATGGTTTCAAGGGAGAGAACACAACATGCTCCTCCGTACAGATAGATATTGATGCAGTGAGATGAAACCTGTTCAACACCTCTCTGGGTTTGTGATCGAATGAAGATGCTCACTGTATCTTCCCCGATCAGCCGACAAAGGGTCACGTGCAGGGACCCATCTTCTTACCTTCCTCATTTGTCGGGTAGAACAACTCTTCTGGATAGCTCTATCGAATGATCCCTAGTTTCGACAGTCAAACTGGTCATGGCTGAATCACGAGATGACTACCGTGAGAAAAGACGGCGCCGGTCGGCGTCTGAATCCTCCCTTTCAACCAGAGACAACGATAGACGACGGCACACCCGAGAACGACACCGCGATGATGATCGAAGTTCTCGAAGAGATAGCTCCCGAAGACGGTCCTCGCGCAGCCCGACGGGGAGAGATGCACGCCAGCTAGATAGCCGTGATCGACGAGACCGCAGGGAAAGACGAGAAGGTTCGGATGATCATCGCAGAAGACGAAGGCATCCATCTGAAGAACGTGGTCACCGCCGTCACCGCGACCGAGACTCGTACGACGATCGAGGGAGACCTTCTCGAAAATATCGAAGTCGATCCCGTTCTCGCTCGCCGGCTGGACGCACACGAAGCCCAGAGTCACGGGCCCTTCCCCGATCCAAGGCTCCCTTACCTTCTCAGAACGACGCATATACATCATCGGAGGTTGCGCGGAGAGGGGAATCATCGGCATCGCCGCCAGAAAAGGAGAAACCGAATTTTGGAAACACCGGTCGCTTAGCTGCTGAAACCAATACTGTCAACGTCAGTGGAGGTACGGTCGTCCTCAAGTACCATGAGCCGCCGGAAGCGCGGAAGCCTCCTGCGAAGGAACCTTGGCGACTCTACGTGTTTAAAGGGGAAGATTTACTTGAGGTAGTTGAGCTGGCTGAGCGCAGCTGTTGGTTGATCGGAAGGGAGCGCCTTGTGGCAGATTTTCCGCTGGATCACCCTAGCTGCTCCAAGCAGCACGCGGCCATTCAATTCCGATACGTCGAGAAGAGGAACGAATTCGGAGATCGAATTGGAAAGGTCAAACCCTACATAATTGACCTCGAAAGCGCCAATGGCTCCCATGTGAATGGAGATACGATTCCAGCCGGACGCTACGTTGAGTTGCGGGACAAGGACGTTCTCAAGTTTGGCCTGAGCTCGAGAGAATATGTTCTCATGCTACCTCAGCCAGATTGATCGACAGTCGCATGTGGTGTTATTTCATTCCGGTTTCTTTTACGAGGTTCGAACCCGCAAGGGAAGACCTACTCGCAATGACTGAGGGTCGAGGCTCTGCAGGGAATGAGAGTCATAACGTGGTCATTGTGCTTTGTCATGGAATATGCTATATTAAACATCATGAGATCGGTGAAAAAGGAGACCATCCATACGTCAGTTAATCATCAGCCTAGCCCTTGGTTTCTATCATTCTTCATTCTGCCGAGGCAATCTCAACTGCGCCTCACATGTTACCCATCTCCTTTGCCTTGCCCTTGGCCTCACCATATACCTCCTTAGCTTTACCTTTGGCCTCGCCAAGAGTCTCCGAGGCCTTACCCTTGGTCTCGCCTGCTTTTTCCGAGGCCTCGCCCTTCATCTCCTCCTTCATTCCCTCCGCCTTGTACTTGGCTTCCTCAGTCGAGCTTCCCACCGTCTGCTTGACCTTGTCTTTCGCTTGTTCTGCATTATCACATCAGCATACATCATGGTCCCTTACGAGTGACAAACACATACCACCCTTGTCGATACCCTTCACGAGATTATCGGAGATAACTCTGTCCGCCTTCTTCAATGTGTCCTTGGTTGCCTCCACGGGACCCTTCTCATTCTTGGGTGTCGAGGAGATGAATCTGCTGCCGGCAGCAGTGAAGGCAGGAGTGGTCGTGCGAACAGCAGCGACGCGAGCGGTCAGGGGAGCGAAGCGTGCGAGAGAAGACATTTTGTATTGTAGTGATGGTTGTACAGTAGATGAGATTCGGAAGGTGGTTTGAGATGCGGCAATTTAAGGTGATATTGATGAAATTGATGAATGTAATGTTTCTGAGTGTAGAAGGACCAGTTAGAATGTGATCAAGGACTTTTGCCTCCTGGCTTATATACCCTTTTCCGGGCCATCTTGGAGGTTGAACGACGTCATCATGGACAGCTGTTGAGCTTCACTTTCCATTACGTCGATACACCATCAGTTGCTTGCCTGATCCGGTTTAGCGGGGCTGGATCAAGGCATCTCCAGACCTATCATGTTTACAAGTGCCTGAGGCATCTACATGGATTCTCGAACTGACAATAATAGAAATTTGATGATGGAATGTATGACATTCAAGTCTTCAAGATGACTCTAATATTGTGGTCATTATCGACCAGATCCTCAATTACTCAGATCACTCCCTTCGGATTAGGGCTTCTGTCATCGATCCTTGGACATGCTAGTACGAATGATATAGCAGAGGTCCAACCAAATAGATGACTTTCAATAACAGCTTATCGATTTCATTCTGCGAGTGCCCAGACAAAGGAAGAAAGAGACTCACCAGCACCTGATTGTGGCCCCATCTAATCTTGATCCCACAAACTTTCGGGTGCAAGTCTGCAGTGCCCTTGGAGAACCGAGTCCAAAGCCATCCATATCTTCGAGTATGTCCCTTCCGGACGATTTCCAGTCTCCGAACCAGGGTAGGTAAGGCTGGAGCCGGTGGCCGCGATTGTCAAGCAGTTGGCAAAGGAAGTATTCGGGTGTTTGATTTCAAGATCATGAAAACCTACCATGAACCCGCCATGGATTCGAAGAATGACTGGACCTGTTGCCAGAGGCTTTGTCTCGAGCATAGACCTGGGGATCGTTACATCACGCTAATGGATAAAGGACCATCTCCAGAATACTTGTAGTTGGAGTAAGGATCTTGAATGGATTAGATTTTGCATCTGTGTAGCGAGCTCCCAGAAGCCAATACCTGGTATATCAAGGATAAATCTGTGGGAGAAGCGGTCATGGGGAATCAGTCACGCGCTCAACGAACTTAGCATCACAATCAAGTCATGAAAACTTGCCACATTGGTTCATAAGCGGGTATAATAAGTAGCAAGATAGGCTGTACGCAGAACTCTTAACGGCTAGTCATAAGTGAATCAGAAATCGAGACATGCAGGGGTATAAGTCAGATATATACAAACACGACGCTGCCATTCTGCAGACTAGTCTACAGTTTTGCCCTCTCCATCACCTGCCGTTGAAGTTCCTTCTCACCTTCCAGCCGCCAGTTCGCCGTCCTGCGCAGCAACCGATCCACCTCCTCATCACTCAAGGTCACGGCCATCTCTAGGGGAATCTCCTTCGTCGCTCGCAGCTTGAACCCGATATACGTCAGATTCCCCGAACTTCTAACGCGACCTGCCACCGCATCACGACAGAAGTCTGCCACGCCCTTGTAGAACCGCTTACCCGCCGGCGTGCCAATCATAACATAACCGAAAACATGCGGCATCCCCTCGAACTGTTCCACGACCACAGGCACACCAGCACGGTGCAGCTTGCGCGCGAGTAGCAGATCCTCATCCGTCAGCGCTTCCTCACCGAGAGAAATGAAGATAGGCGGGGCGTCTTTCCAGATCTCACCGCGGGAGGCGAGCGGAGAGACGAGCGGGTGCAGGATGGCGTTGGCGTTGACGAAGAAGTCGCCGCGGGGAGGACTGCACGGCCAGATCTCGTCTTCGGGAATGGGAAGCGGGACGAACGTATTGTCTGGCGTCTGGCTGGGTGGGTCGAGGTAGTCGTAGCGCGCGTTGTGGAAGACGGAGGGCATGGACCTTGTGATGTCGCACCAGGGGGAGCTTGTCGTGACGCCTGCGGGGAGCTCGATGCGTACGTCCTGGCCGTGGAAGCGTACGGTGGGGGAAACGCGACGAAGAGTCAGAAGGGTCTGAAGCAGAGCTAGCGATAAGTTGCCTCCAGCGGAATCGCCAGCCAGGATGATCTTGTTGGCGGGCACGGGGTCATGCAGCGAGCCCGGGGGCGGCGCGAGGAGCGAGAGATACGCGACGAAGGCGTCGACCAGCGCCGCCGGGAAGGGATGCTGGGGCGCCAGACGGTATCGAACCGAGAGAGCAGGGGCCCCTGTGTGCTTGGAGAGCTGAGATACTGCAACGCGATGTGTACAGGGATCCATGAGGCTGCCAAAACGATCAGTATGAACTCCTTTCTTAACAGAACGACCGCAACTTACAAATACGCTCCTCCGTGGAAGTACAAAATGACCATATCCGCATCGGAGTCACTGCGCAACTTCCTGTACTTCTCCTCTTCCGAGATATCAGGCTGTGGCGTGTTCTTGTCCACGCCCTTGCGATACCCAGTCCATTCGGCCTCGACAGGTGCGACTCCGGGAATATCATACGTCTCATCCCCGGACTTCAGCTCCTCAATCGCTTTAATGACTGCATCCTGGACATCGTTCTCCGGCCGAGGCAACGTGACCTTGGACACCCACATGGGACCCTTGATGCCTGGGTCGCGCATACTGCCCTTCTGCTGCTTGCTGACGGGGAGCTTGAAGTTGATAAACGAGCGGATAATGGCGACGGTCAACTCGGTGCGAAGATCTTGTTTCCCAGAGCCGGGGGACATATGGACTGCATGTAGAAGGGCCGTCTTTAAAATGAGTGGAATCCTCACCAGGATCTCCTTCAAAAGAGTGACGGGGTTATCGAGGTGGCTCATCGCGACTGGTCCACTATGGCGCTAACCCTGACAAACAATCGCTGGGACCTTTAAGCACAAACCAGAGCAATGCGTTGCTTGAATAATGAATGGAAACGCCTATTTTTATTTACAGGAAAAGGATGAGCGCGAAGCGAAATGATGCAGACCTGCTAGGGGCCGATCCGGATCTCAAATTCCAAGAAAATGCAGGCATGCGGGGACACTAGAATGAATGCCTCGGCTCGCCAGTTTTATGAACAGTGGAGACTCTGCAGAAGGTGCCGTCATTGCGCATAGCCTTTTTGTGGTTATTGGGCTCGGAAATTGCCATTTGATCCATGAAGTCCCTTAGTTGTCTGCAGTATGGACACCCCAGACCATCGATATAGCCGATGGTGAGCTTGAACGTGCCTAACACGATCCTGAGCCAGCCTTAAACCACTGGCGTTCTGCAGCATTTCATCATCCCCGCCTAGGCCAACCTAATACCCCATAAAAGACGAAGTATAAATGCTTGTCAAACAAGCACAATCATAGATGGTATTAAAATAGCCGAAGCACCAAGCAGATGTCCAGGTACAAAGTCTTAACGCCGTTCGCCAACCGCTGTACCATGGTACAAACCGACCATCAACTCCAGGAAACCATATAAAATCAAATAAATGAAAAGAAGAAGAAGAAGAAGAAGAACCCCGACTCCAGGCCATGCATTGGTCACAATAATTCGTCGTCCTCCATCGAGTCATCGTCCCACACTTCCCGAGGCAACTCTTCCTCCAGCCTCAACTCTGGGACAGCCTCTGGCGTGTACACGGCTTCCGGGGTGTGTCTGGGCTCCTTGGCTGGCCATTGCCTGGCAAAGAAACCCGGAGTAGCCGTCGCAGTTACAGGCGAATGAGTAATTCGCGTGCCGTAGATACGGACTTCGCCAGAAAGGTTGAGTGTCCGCGGTGGCACGTCGACATAACCGTCCCAGAGACCCAGGAGCTGTGCTAGGAATCTGATAAATGCGATTCCAAGTGCCGTAACTGGTGCCAGAGCAGAAGAGAGATGAGACCATCGCCATAGCATTGTCGGAAGCACAAACGGAAACTGTGGGGCATCGGGACGCAAACAGTTTCCTTCGCAGACGGGAGCAACAGTGGGATGGCAGTAGTAGTCGCACATGGTCGATTCAGAGACGAACCACAGGAGTGAAAACAGGAGGCCCCAACCTAGGCGCGTAATGCGGATACGCCGCGAGATTGGATCGCGCTTCCACAAAAGAGGGAGCGGAATGGAAGCATAGATGCGGCCGTCATTTTCTGCGCCGCAAGTCTCGCATGTCTTTCCTGCAAGAGTGCGCTTCAACTGCGTCTGAGCTTGGGAAGATGACGGACGCGGAGAGTCCTCTGGTATCTTGGGCATATTCTGCGTCATTTGTTCCTCAACGCCATCAATCTTCTTCCTCAAAGTGTCCTGGTTCTCTTCCAGCGACAGCAGTTTCTCGCTTATCTTGTGATCGCCCACGTCCTCGTCACCTTGGCTACGCTCTAATTTCTCCATTATCGACTTCTCGTAGGCGGCATCTGACTGTGGGTCGGCCTTAGTTTCAGTGGACTGCTCGGCCAGCAGTTCTTGGAGGCTTTCAATCGTATCATCACCCACATCGAGGGTTTCTTTGTCGGCCTTGTGTTCCTGTATGACCGACTCGAGGGCACTTTTCGGCAGATCGGGTTTGATGAGTGGCGGTTTCATCTCCTTCTCTCGTTCGTTGCTTTTTCTCTGTTCCTCCTCCTGTTTTTTCGCTTCTTTTTCCTTTTCTTCATTCTCTTTCCTTGCCTTTTCCTGTTCCTCCTCCATCCTTGCTTTCTCTAGCTCCTTCCCCCCTTCTCTCTCCAGATGCTCTTGTTTGTCCCTCTCCGTGTCCTGTTCCCTCTCCTGCTCGAGTCCTTTGACCTCGGCCTCTGCCTCTTGCACCGGGTGAATAACGGGTTTCGGCTCATTTGACGCAAATTGGGACATGGAACCATTCGTGAGCTTCTCTGGCATCTCGGTGCCGCGTTCAGAAATGCGCTCAGTCATAGGAGTGTCTATCCAGGCACCTGTCACGACAGGGGTTTTGTCATATATCCGACGCTGGCCGCCCTTTGGTGCCTCGGGCGTCCTCAACTCCTGCTGGTTTCGATTCTGGTCAGGGCTCTCTCGTCTCGCCAGTCTGCGAATCAATTCATGCGAGTCGCGCTTCGAGGGACTTGGCTTGGTGAAACTGGAATTCTTGTAGACGATGACTGGAGTATTGGCGATAGGCTCCGAAGTTCCTCCGATAGTCTTGTCGTCCTTATGTTCCGAGGAAAATTTGTTCCTGGCGTCTGATAGAGGGATCCTGCTATACCTGCTTGATGCCGGCTCCAGTGATCGGCCGGGGCTGGTACGGAAGTCGAAATTGAGCTTGGTCACTGGCGGCGACACATTAGCAGGCGGCTCCGGCCTTTGCTCGGGTTCAGGCTCGGGTTCAGGCTCAGGCTCATCGCGTCGCTTCAATTTCCTGAGCCAGTCGGTATTGCGTTTCGCTCGGCTACCCCAATTGGAAGGCACATTGAGTCCGCGCTGGAAAGTATCATCGTCTCCAGAGACTAGCTGATCCTCCTCCTCACGCCGTTGAAGGTTCTCCGCTGTCAAGGCATTCTTAGTTCCGCCGCGATTCGACAAGACAGGAGAATGGCTGGTCGTGGCTCGTCTCAAGCGCTTCTCATCCTGAATATGATCGGACAACCTTCGGCGGGGTGACTCGTCTTGAATCTCGGGCAGAAAGCTCGCGTCCGAGGTCGTAAACACATCGTAATCTCGCGCATAATAGCCTGATGACCGTCCAATCTTATCCTCCCGGCCATAGACGTCCTCTGGCTCTAGATCGACCAGGCTGTCCGCGTCGTCTATCTGTCGATATGCCTCTGCAAGCTCGTTCGGCGGATTCGACTCGGGGGACTGGGCATTGTAGATCTGGCGCCTTCTTCCAGGACTCGGCGTCCCTCTCGTATATGGAACGGATGCCGAAATGCCCTCGTTCTCTGCCATCGTTGCGTAGCGCCCCGCCTTCCTGAACGCTCCTGTTAGGGTATTGGTCTCATTGAAATTCGTGCGACGCTGAGTAGTATATTTGTAGGACGGACTGGGAATCCGCGACGCGTCAAAATCTTCAGCTGCTCGGGAATTACCACGAGCTCGACTGAAAGGTGAGCGCTGCTGTTGCTGCTCATACATGCGACGCGACGAGGGTAGCCGGTCGGTGTTGCGCTCGGGGGTGGGCATGATGACAAACAGAGGGGCCCCTCGAGTGAATGGACAATAATCCCTTCATTCACTACTTCCGCGACAACACAACGCGTTTCCTTTTCTTCCAAGAACGCAATAGCTGGTAAATTGGGAGAAGTAACTCAACAATGGGGACGACACTCCGACATCGAGTTCCGTCCTTATAGACTCAAAGCGGTTTAGCGCTGCGGAGAACGAACAACAGCGTCATTCGGCGGAATTTCGATATACGATGATGCTACACAAACTACACCCAGCTGCGGTTCTCACTGAGGACCTGACAATTGCGATTATTTTGTTGACCTTAGCTCTATTGGATTTGGAAGCTACATGGTATGCATTGTAACATCTGCTCTTTGGTTTCATTGGTGTGCGTCAACATTACTGACGGACATGTGACCGGGTCAGACGTCTTGATCATCACGGTGATCGTGTGCCAGCGCATGGCCTCCTGATGCTCGGCAATTCGTACAAGAATATATGCCAGCTAACAGGGGAACTATCTGAAACATCTTGCTTATACCGCTGTGAAACCACTCTACCGTGGCATTACCCCCCGACCTCCAACAAGAGCACATCACAATGACCAAGTCTGCACGACGCTCCGGCAAGGGTAAGGCATCAGCATCGCGCTCTGCCTCGTCCTCCGGATCGTCAAGTCCCAGCTCGCAAGCAGGCCCTCTTCCACCATTCTCCAAAGCACCCGCCACCCTCCGGCCCTTCCTCGAGCCCCTCTCACCACAAGAGGTCTACCTAATCCACATCGACACCTCCCCGCCAGACCTCAAGAAACAGACCTTCATCGTACCAGCCATAATCAATGCCGTGATTGTCGCCATCTTCGCCCTCCGCATCTACATGGTGCGCAACACCTACCCCGCCATGATCGCCACGGTCATCGGACTCACCAGCTCCGCGACGGTAGACACCTCACGACTCTCCTCAGCCGAAACAACCAGCCTCATCTTCCGCCGCACCTTCAGCCTCATGATCGACTACTTCCTCATAACAGTCTTCCTATCCTGGCCGATCCGCTTCGTCCGCGGGCCCGTACAATGGCGCCGCAGAATCGGCTTCCAAGGCCGCGAAATCATCGTCCGCCGCAGCCAGCGCACCCTCTCTCAGACCCTGGAGCGAAACCGGTGGATCCGCGATAACGACGAAGCCCGCGACAAGATCGTCGCGGCTGTTACTCCCGACCGCATCCGCAAGACGGGATACCTGCTCGTCGACGCGGACTGGGACCTGGACTACGACGCTATGATCAAGGCGCACGAGATGGTCGATCCCGCGCGGAAAGACGACCGCGTCGCCTTGTCTGAGTTCCGCACAGCCGTGCTGGTCAATACCGATGCGGACGGGTGGCTGATCTGGCGGGTGGAAGACGAGGACACCGCAGAGGCGAGGACGCGGTCAGCCCAGAGCGACCAGATCCTGGCGTTCAAGGACAAGCTAACTGCCATGGGCAAGGAGGATCTCTTCTTCCGGTGGGTGGAGCTAATCCAGTACGAGAGCACGCAGCCGGGCGGCTTCACGCCGGAAAGACAGCGCTCCGCTATGCTGCAGGCAAAGGAGCTGTTCGAGATGGAGAACGTCGACTTTGCGCGCTTCTGGCAGGAAGTTGGGGGGATGGAGGGATTTTCTGATCAGCTCGATTGAGTTGATCACTTTTGGGGCGTTTTCCCCCAGATACTGGTACCTGTACCTTGATACGGGCGGAGTTT